TTCCGGAGGAGAACCGCTCCCTGTATTTTCCAGCTGTCATTTTGCCGAAGCAGATGGCCAGCAAGGCCTTTGCCCTGAGCAGCGCTGAGTTTGAATTCGCCACGTCTCTATTGGTGCCCCTGGGCCTGTGATAATGCGAGATGGTTACTAATACGGAAGGGAGGCTGCTTGTCTCTGTATTACCAGCTCAATTTTCTGCTAATCTAAAATTGTTCTAAAAAACCGTTTAAAGAGGAAAAAATAAAAGTGGAAAGAGGGACCCGTTAGACGGTTCTCTCTACTCTACTTGATTTTTCATGTTGAAATCATACCATTATGTTAGTTATCAAAATATTGATCTTTTCTTTCCTGGAAGAACACAGAAAAAAATCAATCAGAGTGGTTAGGGTAATAGAACTCAGAGAGAGTGCTTGTCACTTTAAAAGTAATGCATTTGGCGAAACTTTAAAACGGCCCTAAAGCAATACAAAAATGGAAAATTAGTGGCCTCTTTTTCCTTTCCTAACCCTTTCATCCATGTCCTGGATGCCACTGGCTGAAAATTTAGAAAATGCTCCTCCAATTTCCCCCCACTAGATCTCTATTAGAATGTTCACAGTTTTTTTGTTTCTTCATTTTCCTTTTTCTTCCAAACAAGGAGTCCTGCTTCACAAATCAGTCTCCAAGTTGCTCCTTTTTCTTAAAAAACTATACTATTAACCTTCCACGTAAAAACACATCTGTCTTGGAGGAAGGTCAGCCAGAATGCTCCTTGGAGGCAAAGAGGCTGATGCTTGGTCTCACGTACTTGGGGACACGCTGTCACGAGAAACCAGTCCCTGGAGAAGGACTTCACGCTTGGTCAAGCGGCAGGGGGGACAGCGACAAGGAGGAAGCCCTTGGAAAAGGTGGATCGACATAATGGCTGCATTGATGAGCTCAAAACATAAGAACCATTGTGAGGATGGCGCAGGCAGGGCGGGGCCGCGTTTAGTTCCGTCGGACATCTCGGGTCGCTGGGAGTCGGCACCCACTGGACGCAACTAACAGCATCAAATGTCCATGTCAACTCTCTGAATCGATGTCTCTTTCAAAGAGAAACCCGTGGCTTTCAGCGGCTGCCCCGGAGCCCCGCCCAGGGCTCCCGGACCC